GTGGGCGCCGCCGCGGTTGGGCTCTGGCGAGCGCAGCAGAACAGAGTCGTCGGCGTGCGTCTTGACGTGCTTCTTGAGATCCTGGGGGCGCTTGAAGGCCTTGCCGCAGAAGTCGCACTTGTGCGGCTTGAGGGGCACGTGAACGCGGATGTGCGAAGTGATGTGGTCGCGCTTGACCGTCGTGGTGCGGCAGTTACCCCACTGGCACGTCAGGTTGAGGTTGTTTGTGCTCTTGCGGCCAACATGGCGCTCACAGACGTGGTCCTGCTCGCGGGTCAGCGCACGCGGGGGCAGGCGGGCGGGCAGGCGGTGCGACTTACATAGAGCTGCTCGGCAGAGGGCAGGCGGTCGCCGCAGTTCTGCCACTGGCAGACGAGCTGGTCGCCGGCGCCGGCGCCGGCGACAGAGGCAGGCGTGGGAGCATTCTGCTGGATGGGCGTGCCCTGGGGCTGCTGCTGGGGCGTCGAGGCCGCCGCTGGGACGGGGTTTTGCACCTCGCTCATACTTGGCAGAGGCGTGGAGAGGACGGGCGAAGTCGAGTGTTGTCGGGGTGGCGTGGCGTGACAGAGAGGGCTTTGGGGGGGGAGGGCACACTGAGGGCCAGCAGAGGGCAGCACTAATAAGGCCGAGCGAGTCTTGACCAAAGGCTGGCGTGTGGAGAAGGGCGTGCTTGGGGGGAGGTGAATAAGAGCAGAGGGAAGAGCGCCGAGCCAAAGTCGACTTCGCGGGGGGGCGCTGCGCGTCTGATGTAGGGGACTGGGCAGTGCCCGGAGCGGAGCTGGCCAGCCTGCGCCTGCCAATTTTCTTGGAGCCAAGTTTTAGATTGCCGCGCTAGGGGGCGCTGGCGCCTTGGCCTAATCAGCCGGGCGCATGCAAAAAAGCGCGCACCAGCGAATCGGCTGGTGCTGCGCGCATCCATGGCCGCCTGCTACGCCGAGAGCCCGCAGCAGCCACCGCGCCCTTGCCTGTGTCCGGCCCTTCCGCCGCACTCACGCCCACCCCCCTCACACAGGGCCATGTATACCGCACACACACGCACGCCCGCGCACACGCACCCACACAGAGAGGCACGCCTTCACTGCTGCACACACACACACACACACACATACACGCACGCCCAGCCCGCCCATGCTCGCCCACGCGCACACCATCGCCACCACCGCCCGCTCGGCCGGCCCCCCCTCGCCCTTGCTCCTCGCCCAGGAAAAGCGGAGTTTCTTGGGCCTGGCGGAGTCTCTTGTCCGGCGCCAGAGGGCTGCATGCACGCGCAGTGGCAACTCTAGCCGCCAATGCTGCCTGCCTGCCAGCCTGCCAGCCTGCCTGCCCCGCCATCCTCTTCTATACAAACGCGGCCGGGGCGCCGCCGCCAGGCTCCCAGCTGCCCCCCTCCCCCCTCTCCCCCCCCATCAACGGCCATGCCATGCTTCCTGCCCGCAACCTGCTCCACCACCACCACCAGCTTGCCCACCCCGACATTGACATTGACACCCGCCCGCCCCCGACCTCGCCCTCGCCGTGTCCCTCTGCCTGCACCGCACGCTATCCTCCCACCGTCGTGGTCGCGCCCGCCCCCGCGAAACGACGCCATCCCCCCCAGGCAGCCCCTCGACGACGGTGGCTCGCTAGCAACAACTAACCTTTGTCCGGCTGCCGCAGGTCGACTCCCGTTGCCTGTCCCTGTGTTTGACCCAATTTCACGTCAAACTTACGTTGCCTCTGTCTGCGGCCTCAGCTGACGTCGATCGCCCACGCGCCCAATCTAGCACCTTCATGCGCCTCATAGTCCGATGGAGGAACCGTTTCACGCACTTGGCCAGCCAACACTGCCCAAGATGCACCTGTCGATAGCTGCCTCCCCCCCCCTAGGGGGCCATCCATCGCTAAGCTGCGAGCGGGATTCCGCTCGCCACTTGGCGACTGTTCCAGCCAAGAGTGCCCAGAAAAATTGAGGGCATTGGCATTATGGCTGTGCCGGCTTTTGCCAGCTTTTTGCTAGCCGCGTCTCATGGAGGTCAGGCTAACGCCGCGACATCACTCGCGGGCCCCTCCCCTCAATCAACCTGTTGAGCCCAGCTTACCAACCTTCCCATTTAGATGGACGGCAATTTCGAGTGCAACCTCGACTGCCAGTCGGAGGAGGAGCCATTTTTCCCCCTCGCCGTCAAATGAGCAACAGTACTGTACTCAAGTAGTCGTGGTAGGTGCTGATCGCGCCGCTACGGCCAAGGGTTGCACCGCACACACCACGACGAAGCAAACTGTAATGCACACATGCATAGAAGCCACTGTCATCTTCCCCGTCTCAACCGGCTGGCCGGAACGCCGCTGGACCGACGCACATGACACATCTTGTTGAGCAATTCAGCCACCTTCGTAGGTCAAGTGGCACCGCCACATGCACACGACGTCGCGTACGGCACAATGACGAGCGCCATGGACACGCAAAGGCCTGCCCACCTTGGTTGCATGTCTTGGGCCTGATTGCGGAATTTCTTGGACACCAAGAGCGGGACTTGGACGCGCCCTCATTTGCCAAGCTGCACGCATGTGCGCGCAAATGTACCTACCCGAGCAACGTCTACATTACAAGAGAAAAAAAGGAGCCCTTCCCACTTGGTGGAGCCACGTGTGGAGCCCTCCGGTCTGTGACACAGCTAACGAGCCAGACCGTGTTTAAAAGTACTCGACGCGTTGGTTTTTGGAACCCACCTTGTTTTTCCCATGGCTTGCTCTTCCAAAACGCCATAATGCCATAGCAATCGCGACTTGGTAGCAGAAGTTACTACCGTCCCCTTGCTTACTGTCAGATAGGCTACTCACTCAGACATATGCGGCTGTGCAGACAATCAGCTACCGCCGCGCTCGCTACCAGTTTCTGCAGTCAAAACTGCCGGTTTCACGATCCATTCGTTCCTCAGGGATGTGTGACTACGTACGTAGTACGTACGTACGTACACACTTTGTTGCTCGACAGCGGCATTAACCCCGAAACAAAAAAGATAACTGCATGTTTATTTTTAGATTGCCCCTGAAGTAATGACTTACCGTGTTTCCCGGTCTCTCTCCGTCTTGTTCCATCACATACACTTTGAACGAAAAAAAAAACTAAACTTGAGATTCGTTTGTACCAAATGACCTTTCTTCGACTGTGCTACACGAGAAATGACATGAGGTCGATGGGTGATTAATCCGTAGTCACACGTACATACATACACACACAGACCCCATACCCATATGTACACACACACTTGGCTAGGTATAATTATATCACACATCCCCCCCTCCCTCCCCTTAACGCCAAGCCCGCACCTCCAACTTCCATGTTCCTGGTCTTATCCAAGTAACCAGGTAAGTAATACCCTACACGTACGCCCTTTTTTTTCTCTTCTCCCCTAGGTACACTAGTTGGATTCGTTGCTTGATATGCTGGTACTTGTACATTACATGTGATAATCTTACTTACTATACTTACTAGCACTACTTACTGCTTACCACATGACAAGCATGCAACCACAACCACCATGTGGATGAGCATGTATGTATGTAATAATATGACACTCTTATTTATTTCTGATGTTTGATTTTATTTTGGCTCCTTGGCTTATTTGCTTGCTTGCTTGCTTGCTTACTTGCTTACTTGCTTACTTGCTTACTTGCTTACTTGCTTACTTGCTTACTTGCTTGTGTATCTCCGTCTGGATCAATACGGTCATGGATGCATGTATACTCACTCACCCAGTTAATCTACCTTGTTTAATTTGGGCGAAAAAAAAAGATTTTTTTTTCAGGTCTACAAGGGGGGGGAGTTTGATATACGCAGATTAGAAGGCGAAATGAAGTGCAAATCAAGATGAATGAAGGGAAATGAAATTAGGACTAGTCTGGCGATGGAGGATCGATTGGGTAGATGGGATAGATGGATGGATAGATAGATAGTTGGATAGTCAGAGCAGCAGTGGTGGTGGTAGTCATGGTAGTCATGGTAGTCATGGTAGTCATGGTAGTCATGGTGATGCTATCTATCAGTTCCCATGCATTACCCGCGTTCTTCCTTTCCCTCTCTCTACCTTCTCTCTCCCTTCTCTCAGCACCCAATATTCCACCCTTGCACAACCAAACCCCCCCCCCCAAGTACCTGAAAACCGAGAAGAAAAGAAAAGCCACAACATTTGCTATGGTTATTCCCGACTCAAAAACACATACATACATGACGACTTTGTTGTTCAGCTAAAAAAAAGAGAGTCTATGGTTTTCAGTGTAGAACCCTAAAAGAGATAAAGGGGAAGACAAGGGGGATAAATGTGTTAGAATAGAGTAAATAGGTATGTGTATGTGTGTGTATGTGTATGAAGGGGGAGAGAGGGGAGCAGATGATGAAACAGAGTGTGTCAGGTGAAGAAATGGGAAGATGGGGGGAAAAATGGGGAGAGAGAGATGGAGAAGAATACTGACTAGGGGATATGTGTACATTGATAATGTGGGGTGAATAAACGAACGAATAGATCAATGAATGAACGAGAAAAGAAAAGAAAGAGATGGATTCTACAAGACTCAACTGTAAACCATGCACTCTTGATTAAGTTGAAGCACTACTAACCACACAGTTCTATTCTAGTCTTAGTCTTCTTTTGCCAGCCGCTACCACCGACATCCCACGTTACAACCTACCGACGCCATCAAACACGCCCTCGCGTTCCAAGTCTAGCAGGGAAACCTTGGGCAAAGGACTCACAGCATCAGCACGCTGCAACGCGCTCTCCATGATGCGCCAAAAGGCGTCGAGGTCCACGCTACGCGGTATCCTGCAGCCGGGCTCGCCCGAGGGGAGTTTGGTTACTTTTGTGCGGCCGAGCTCGCCGACTAGCGTTTTGTCGGGTGAGTGGATGCCCGTGGTGACTATATCGATGGTGAAGCGCTCGCCGCCGTGGTCGTCGAATATCTCGGGGAGGTAGGCGGCGACGACGGCGAGCGGGTCGTGCAAGGGCGGGCCTTGGGTGATGGAGAAGACGTCGGCGTAGGTGCCGGCGAAAAACGACATGACCTGTGTGAAGAGCGCGCGCAAGGGCGTAGGCGTAAAGTCGTCTTTGGAATCCGATGCTTCGCTCGCAGCTTGCCCGTACAGCAGCATCTTGCGCACCTTGTTGGTACCCAGGACCTGGTGGGTCAGGTCAAGCGGGATGAGGGTCGTCTTGGGGCGCAGGACTGGGTGCGAGAAGATGAAGTGCGAGGCCTCGGGGTCACACTGCACGTGATTAGTATCGATTGCAGCACGTCGAGCACGGCAATGCATACGTAGACCTGTTGTCGAGTTAGTCATACTTTTCATATACAATTTTCCACATGGCAAACATACATTAAACTCGGCATAGGGTGTCCAGTTGCCAAACCGCTCGCCCTCGCCCTGTACCGTACCCATGGGCGCATCTGTGAAGCCTCCGCCGACAGCGCCGCCCATGATGCTGAGCCCCTTGATGTGGGCTGCGAGGTCGGGATACTTCTGGAACGCCAGGGCAATGTTAGTCAGGGTGCCTGTGGACACGAGCCACGCCGTGTTTGGCGGCGTCGCCATGAGCGCCCGGTGCATGGCTTCGACGTGGTCGACATCGGTCGCCGCGTGCTCGACTGGCACCGGAAGCAACGTCACTCCGTCCAACCCGGACTCGCCTGCGCACATCAGTCGGTATTCGCTGCATCCTATGGCGTCGCCTCGGTACCGTGGATATCGGCTGCATGTACGGCATCGCGCGCAATGGGTTTCGCTGCGCCCGCGTAGACCTTGACGTCGCGCCTGCCAATGGCCTCGAGGATCGCGCGGGTGTTGTATGTCGTCTGGTCGAGGGCAGCATTCCCATGGACAGTGCTTGCACCCAGCAGCTCGACTCGGGGATCGTGGCCGCAGACAAGGAGAGCGTAGGCATCCTGGGTAGCGTGGTGGTGAGCACTGAGCGGCGGCGGGGAGGTTCACAAGCACTCAACGCACATCGTGGCCGGTATCCTTGGCGGGCAACAGGTCAGTAGGGGATCGGCAGGAGACGCAAGCAGGTACACACGCAGTCGAGCCAGATTGGCGTCTTGGGAGCGGCAAGGGACATTGTATATTGCGTTTGGGAGACAGCGTATGTGTACCGCCATGACGCGCATCACCACGACGAGGGGCGCATGCATGGCTGGCGGCGGTTGGTGGGGTCAGGGTTGCCCCCCAGCCGCGTCGAGCTGATAGGCACAGCGCGGGTCCGTGGGCAGTCGCCTCGCCCTAGGACATCGGTGTGCGCGCTTCGAGCCGAGTCCGGAAACCTTGGTGGTGCAACGCGAGATCTGGACTTTGACAAGGTTTGCAGCCCCAAAAAGACCCCGCAAGGGAGCGCCTAGTATAAAGAGAAAGACAGAGAGCGGCGGCTGGTCGCGTTGAGCACGTTTCGACTGGCCCACCTATCGCAGTTTGGCGCCGTCGGCCCTGCGTCTGATCCCCCAGGGCTGCCCTTCAACGACACCGACTTGTGACCGTGACACGTATACGACAGCTGCAGTGCGCACCACCAGGGGACAACGCCTTGCCGCCATTCCTTGGACTTGTGCTCAACACCGGCCTTGTTCGCCAGAGAGCAATCGTCCAGCCGGGACTTCCGCCCATCATTTGGAGCTACCTGGAGAGAGCATACAAGAGGGGGGTGAATAGCAACTGCATGCTTGCTTTGATAACAGCCACGTCGCCATGCATCTCTTCGCACGCCACGAGGGCCACCACGAGGTCGACACGGGCCGGTACTGGGGCCTCGGGTACTACTTTCAAACTCTCAGCACCGAGCAGCTGCACCAGCGGCGCGAGTATCTCGACTGGTATGGCTTTGCTGCCGAATGGTCCGTCTTGGTCATCCTCTCGCTGTTCCAGGTCGGCTTCGCGCTTTCGTGGGTCATGAGGAGCGGGATGCGGTATGAACAGCCCAAGTCGCCCTCGTTCACAAAGGAGCACAAGAACAGGCTGGCATGGCTGAGACGCATGCACGGCGGGTGCGCCAAGGCCAAGTGGTGGATGCAGAAAGATGTCATCAGAGGCTGGAACTGGGGCACCAGGGGAGAATGGCTGGGGGCTGCTCTCTGGACATTGTGGCTGCTGTACCTGTGTGTTGCCAACACGGGAAAAGGTATGTGTTTGTCATCTGCCCATGGACCGACCTCATCTGCTCGCATGACTGACCCTTGATAGATTACCTTCATTTGACCAAGCGCTTCGGGCAAATTGGCGCATCCCAGATGCCAATCCACTACCTCCTGGCTATGCGAGCACCCTACAGCCCGGTCCAGTACCTGACACGACTGTCCCATGAACAGATCAAATCTTCGCATCAGATCCTGGGACGCATCATCTTCTTTTTATTCGTGCTGCACGCGGCCTTTTACCTCAACTTCTTCATCCTATCCGGCCTGCTTGCAAAGCGCATCAAGGACTGGGACGTCATCTGGGGCGTGGTCAGCCTCATCCTTTTCTCTGCCATCAGCACCACTGCCCTGGGATTCATCCGGCGAAGAAACTACCGCGTCTTTTATATTTCACACATTGCCATTGCCAACTTTATCATTGTGCCCTTGTTCCTGCACGTGTCGCATATCCGCGTCTACGTGTACGAGGTCATTGTCATCGAGGCGCTGCATTTAATCTTCCGCGCTGTGCGTCTCAAGACATACCAGGGCACTCTCAAGCTGCTTCCCGGCACTAACCTGGTCCAAGTTCGTATTCCTCTACCAGCGGATAGTGCCGCTCTTAGCTGGAAGCCGGGGCAGCATGTGTACCTGAGCCGGCCAAGGGGCAAAGGCAAAGAGCCCACATGGTACAGTCAATGGCTCACGATCAACAAGACGAATCCCTTTACCGTGGCGTCTCTGCCGGCACAAGACAAGGAATTGCTCCTGGTTGCGAGAACACTCAAAGGCAACACAAAGTATCTTGGCGAGCTTGCACGATCACTGGGACAGGGGAGTAGCAGCAGCGTGCCAATGCTGCCAACAGCGGGCGGGGACATTCCGATATTACCACTGTCGCTCGAAGGACCGTATGGGGCATCCGCCCGGCTACCTGATTTGCTGGATTATGACAGAGTGCTTTTGGTGGCTGGTGGCGTTGGCGCCACGTTCATTATGCCCATCTACCGCAGTCTTGTTGAGCAGTCAGACGATGCGCCAGCGGGCAGTCAGGTGCGGTGCATATGGGCAGTGCAGAAGCTGGCCGAGACACAGTGGGCATTCGCGGCAAACGCTGTGGCTGGCAACAGGCAGGGTGACGAGGACGAGGACGAGAACGGGAACGAGGATAGCAACGGGAATGGCTTGCTGCACGGGCCGAGCAGCGTGCAAGTCTATGTAACGCGGGCGTCGGGAGCGAATCTGCGAGCGGCTGGCAGTGCGGGTGGCAGCTTTGCCGTCGACTCGGACGACGAGGGAGAAGGCGAGGCGATTGAGCTGCAGGAGAATGAACAGCTGCTGGACATGGAGGAGCAGATGCAGAAGCCGCGCAAGGGCATGGTGGTCAAGAGCGGCAGGCCGGATCTCAGGGGCCTGGTAGACGAGGTCTTCGGCAAGGGTATGAAAACGGCGGTGGTTTGCTGCGGGCCGAAGAGGATGACGGACGATCTCAGGAGCAGCGTTGAGGAGTGGGTGAACAAGGGCCATGACGTGTTCTGGCACGATGAGTCGTTCAAGTGGTAGACACGGTGGTTTTGTATAGATTTGCGTGCGTCGAGCGCTGTTGAGGTGGTTAGTCGCAGTGGCCGTGGGCGTGGCATTTGTCGTGGGCGCCGCCGCCGCCCGCCCGGGGCGCTGGACACGAATCGCAGAGTTTGGCCAACGGGTGTGCATGCATTATGAGCGACGGGATGTGCATGTTAAGACAGGCAGAGGCTTGTCACGAGCGATTGACAGCGACAAGTGCACTCTGGCGCCCATCTGGTACTAGAGGCGGCCAGCCGTCCAAACTCTGTAGCCCTACGGCGGCCTCTAGAACGGGCCCGCCGTCGAGGGCGCGGCTCCCTGGGCCGTTGCCGGGGACTATCTTGCCAGGAACGGGGAAGGCGCAGGGAGACGGAAGCTTGTCTAGACAGTTGTGCACTGGGCAGAGGGCGTGCACAACCCAGGCGACATAATCAAAGGCGTTCATGCGCCGAGGATGCGTTTGTCGCGCATAATGATGGGTGGCGGTGGGCGAGGGGGGTGGCGATGGGGGTGGATGAGGATGAGCACGACGAGGCGGCGACGGCGGCGATGGCGACGAAGACGGCCCTGGGGGACGGGGGGCTGGCTGCCATGGGTGCGTGTGAGTGAGTGAGTGTTGGCGGCAACGTGTTTTTGCTTGTTGGCCAGGCTATTCAGCTGTCCAGGAGGCCGACCCATGGCGACCCCAAGCCGCTTTTGTCGATGGGGGGAGAGGGAGGGGAGGGGCAAAGAAGATTAGTCGAGGCCCGAGCAGCGTCGCCGGCACTCTCAGGCGCGCACAACAGCAGCCGTGGCCGTCTCAAGTGCGGGCGGTCGGTCGCTTGTCTTCCCTTCTCTCCCTCCCTGCCTGCCCAAGCGCGCCCTCACCCCGTCCGTCATCGCGACTCGCTCACCACCACCTCCTCCATCATCACCACCTCCACCACCCTGTTACAGCTCCTGGGGCGCTGAGCACGCGACGCCAAGTCTCCGATCGCTACCTTCTCTTCTCTCCTCTCCTCTTCTCTTGTCCTGTCCCATCCTTATCCCTTGCCTTGTCGCCCGTATTACATTTTCCTTGCACCTAATCAATCACCCGCACGACCACACGACCGCGTGCCAGCAGGGAAGCCGCCTGCAACGCAACGCGCACTGCAAAAGCACCCCTCCCTCGCTGCCAACCACACACCGTCTCCACTCCCACGTCGCTGCTCCTTCTCGCCCATCCCATGGCCTGCTGCTGGTAGCCGTCGGCTGCTCCATAATTAGTTGCTTCCTTTATCCACGCCCCGAGTCAACAACAACCACCATCGCCCTCCTCGCCCTCCTCGCCCGCCAGGCACTCCAGGCCACACCGCACCGCCTCATTCTCGGTGCGGCCGACGCTCATCTGCCGCCCCTGCCGCCCTCACGCCCTTCCCCCCCCCAAACACTAAACACGCCGTCTGGCCCTTCCACGTGGTGATCGCCTGCCACTGCCTGCACCGCCTTCTATGGCTGCTCTCGCTTCTTCTCGCCAAACCGCTCCGCCCGCCCAGCAGTTGACGCCGCCCAGCAGCTCCCACGGCGGCCGCGGATCCTGGGACTTTGCTGTTCCCGTCAATCACTTGGTGCGTATGCCACCTGCTTGCTCTCCCCTCTTCGCCTGCCATGGCGTCCCGCTGCACCGCAGACTAAACGCACTACTGCGCCTCCCGCCCATGGTGTCTCACCCTCGCCAAGTCTGCCAACTTGACCATACCACGACTACGCTCTCCCCCGATGATGTCAAGATGCATGGGGCTAGCTGGCTAACGTGTTGCACAGCGAGAGTCACTTGACCAAGAGCCCTACTCGGCCGAATACGGCGCCTACTCCCACACTGCCCACCAGCCCTCGATCTCGCAGTCCAGTGGCTTTGCAAAGCCCGTACGCTCACCCACGTGGGAATCGCAGGATTTGGCCCGTTCACAGCTGGCTCCCGACCGCGTCACCGAAGTGCACAAGAAGAAGAGCGGGGAAATGATTGCTACCAACACCGACCAGGACAGCGTGCTGGAGTACTACAAGACGCACACCAACAACAAGAGAGGCCCCGCCAGCATCCATGGAAAGCCCAAGAAGAAGTCGGCCAAGGCTGGCCAGTCGGACCCCGAGTACGACGAGAACAACTGGATACACCGCGACAAGCTCAAGGAAATTGAGACTCGCGAGCTAGAGGAGGCTGGCTTCAGGGTCGGGCGGACGAGCAGGTCCAACAGCCGCTCGCAGAGCACATCTCGTCGTGCACGCGACCGCACAAATTCCGAATCGACTGAACGCACGCAGAATGGTGATGAGCGCTTGGAGCCCAAGAAGCGCATATCCACCATACCGGCTGCCGATGAGGATGCAGTGGACAGTGCCCAGGCTGGAAGCCCGGTATCTCAGGACGACTCTGCAGACTCCCAGCCCGCTTCCAAAGGTAACCACACTGTGAGGCCTAGTACGTCTCGCATTCCACTGCCCAAGACTAGCGGTATACCTGTTCCGACTGCAGTGGCAGAGCGTGATGCGCCGCTTCCTAGATCCAGGGCAGACAGCACAAACGTCAATGGGGATACCATTGCCACAATGGGTGCACGTGTACGCAGCGGCAGTGTAGGCAGTCAAGTGCTGCTTGACGACTACGATGGTTCCGACAGAACCCCGCCGAACGGCATCCACAGACGCAACACTTCGGCTGAAAGTTCGTCGCCGCCCAAATCTCCCCAAAAGTCTCCTCAGAAGAAACCAGCGGGCAAGACCAACACAGCAGCATCACGAAAAACCAGCGTCCAAAAGACGCAGTCCAAGACGCGCACGTCTGGAACTTCACCTCCTAACAAGCGTCCTGGCACCAGTGGCGGCATGGTAACGCGGCCTACTACTGCCCACCGACCAGAAGGCGAGGCTCCATGGATAGCATCCATGTACAAGCCAGACCCCCGCCTGCCCCCAGACCAGCAGATTATTCCAACCCATGCGAAGCGAATGCAGCAAGAACAATGGGAGAATGAGGGGCGAGTTGGTTCCATGTACGACAAGGATTTCCGGTTGTTGAACGACGATGACTTGTCAAACAAGCGCCTCTCACAGCTGGCCAACCTCGACCCCATTGCTATCGAGAAGGCGCGGGAAGAAGAAACCTGGCCCCTTGCAAGCCCCACAAAGCAGGACTCGTCGCCGCTTGAAAAGGTGGACTCGAACACTCCCAAGTCTCCAACCCAGGAGCAAAGTGCTTACAGGCTAACTCCCACGATACCTCAGACTGCCGACAATGCACCTGCGCCCAAGATGGCCCCTCCTATCGCACCCGCACCATCCAGGTCTCCGGTCACACGGGTTCCTGAGCCAATCGAGGATGCCAAGGAAAAGAAGGGCTGTGGCTGCATTGTCATGTAACTTTCATTACCTCCCATACCCGTTTCGTTCGTTTTTCCCTACCAACTGCGTTCAAAAACATATTTCCTTGTGTGTATGGCGTTCTTGGCGCACAGCCTAGGCTTGGTGGCCCACATTCGACTTTACCTACATATTCGGTGCAGACCTGGGCTGATAGCGTTCAGCGATTCGTTTCATTGTTATTACCTGCTGTCTTTCTTTTTCTGTGCTTGGCCTCGTGCATCTTTTGTCCGATTGGGGTTCATATTTTCTTTTTCCGGTTTCGGAACCCTCTACATCTATGAGCATATCCACGTGGCGGTCCGCCAGTATTTTCTTGTTTTGTCATATACAGAGACGGACGGCTGATGTCCAAGACTAGCAATGGTCACAGAGGAGGATGAGATTCGTTGGGGGGTGCAACATGGCTACGACTGGTCAAAGCAAAAGCAAAGAAGCCTTGTTGAGGGGGTAGAATGTTGGAGTCAGATAATGATTTTAATCATGCACATTCCGCTTCCTGTTGTGGCTGTTGGTGAAACATGTCAAATCGGTAGTATTCTGTGACATTGGCTAGCGTGGCAACGTGTGTCCCTTGACCGCGGAGCTCCGAGGTAGTACGTTAGAGATAAGCATATTAAGATTTTTGCTTTCTCTCGGCGCAATTCCGTTGTAGGCATAGGCGTAGTCACAAGTTGTTGCGCCCAAGAGTGGCGTCACGTGCGCCCATCTCCACTAGCCCCTCGCTTATCGGCACTTCCCACACCGAGCAGACCAATTTCAGGCCGGCGAATCGCTGAACTTTAGCGAACTTCTCTCCATCACCACCACCAAACTCTTCGAGGAACACCCGACAGATCCAAATCATACATCATGGTACGCCACCACCCCTCCACGCCGTGTCTCAATGCCTGTGCCTGGAGATGCAATGGAAAAAATGTCGCTGACGTGAAGCCCAACAGTCGGACGGAGAAGACGACACCAAGTCCCAAGTCAGCGCGGCCGCCGAGGTCGAGGTCTCTGCCGATGCATCTGGCGGCAAGGGCCAGATGAGCGTGCTTGAGGCTCTCAAGGGCGTTCTCAAGCTCGCCCTCATCCACGACGGACTTGCCCGTGGTCTGCGCGAGGCCTCCAAGGCCCTCGACCGCCGTGAGGCGCACATGTGCGTTCTCAACGAGGCCTGCGAGGAAGAGGCATACAAAAAGCTCGTTGTTGCCCTGTGCTCGGAGCACAAGATCCCTCTTATCAAGGTCCCTGATGGCAAGCAGCTCGGCGAGTGGGCTGGTCTCTGTACGTTTTTTCTTCTTCTTTTCTTTCCTTTTTGCCAGTTCCAATATCAACATGGACTTTCCGAGATTTTGCTTTGCTAACACAAGACGCAACAGGCCAGATTGACCGTGAGGGTAACCCCCGCAAAGTCGTCAACTGCTCTTGCGTTGTCGTCAAGGACTGGGGTGAGGAGTCCCAGGAGCGCAGCATCCTCCTCAACTACTTCCAGACCGAGCAGTAAACGTGCCTTTATGTCTTTTTATGACAAGCACGATGCCCATCCCCACCTCACGGCCTTTTTCGCACAATTCACACTACCAACCTTTCGCTGCTTCGGGTCGGACCACAGCTCATGTGCCATGGCAAGGGAGTTTGAAGGGGTTGTACAGGCGGAGACGTGTGGCATCACGATGGGATGGGCTGTATGGATTTAGACGGGCCTCTTTTCTTAACTGTCATAGAGCGCCATGATACCAATTGAGAAAGGATTCAACGTAATTTTTTTTGCTTCTGCTTGTCACTTTTGAGGTGTGAACCACCCCACTTGCGGGGTAATCATATCCCTGTTCGTTGACCTGTATGTGTTAGGGCAAGACGGACGAGCAAACGGACAAATATGGACCAAGGATGTACTCTATTGCATTGTGGATTTTATTGGCACTTGTGGAAACAAGTAAAATGAAAGGAAGAAAAAAGAGAAGCAAAGCAGAGAGGGAGTCGTCTTTCATCATTCCATGACCCAATTCAATCTAATCCAATCCAATATTCCCACGTCTATAACAACATTGTCACTAAGTAACACATTTTTTTTCTTCTTCTTCTTCTTCTTCTTTTCGCAACCAAGTCCATCACCGAACCAGATCACGCGAGTCGAAGTATATATGAAACCCCCCCCCCCCCCGA